CCTGCTGTGCCACTGGCTGGCCCTTAGAATCTTTCAAATCTCCGGGAACAACCTTTTTGGGTTGTTCCAAGTGAGTTGCAGCTTTGACTAGTTACAGGCTCTTTAGGAAGCTCTTTGGACTAAGCGCTATAGCTAAAGCACGCCGCCCCAAACTGAGAAATGTAAGTCTGACTCATCGCCATTCTTTTCCTTGTATTTCAGGTACTACTGGGATTTTCAACCCCAAGGTGAGTTTGTTTGTTTTTGACCACATATGGTTTTATAGTAAAAATGTGTGGATGGCATTGTTTACTTCTCTCTCTTCTATTGATACAGAAGCTTCTTCACCGTGACATTAGCCATTTCAGAGGAAAGTTAGTGGAGTGTTTAATTAACCTTCACCCTGGTGGGCTCCCTGCCCTGCTTTTTAGCAACAAGAGGCACTCTGCTTCTGCCTTCTGCGTGGATTATTGCTAGATTATTTTATAGAACCAAAGCTTTAATATGCTTTTATTCTTTGAGCTTCGTTTGATGCCAAGAGGCTCCAGTAGCATTCGAATAAAATGGTGGTCGAGTCCATAATAAAAACCTTGGGAAGGTTCCAGCTCAGCTAATCCTTCATTTGCTCCAGAAATAAATTCCAGTATGTTACCTCCTCCATCACAGTGCCCTTCCACATAGCTCGGCTGTCTGGCAACAGAGAACTGTCAAAAATGGAGCGGTGTTGAAATTCCCACTAGAACACTGTTATCACATTTTAATATGAGCATCACTGCAGTCTCAGTGCTTCTAATTGCTTTCAAACCATTGTTTTCCTGCTTTTGCTTGATGAACCCAGCATCTGGCATGATTCTAAAAAGTACAACAGACAGATGTGTGCAAAATTAAAATAAAAGAAAAAAAGGTCAGGATTAGAACACATTTTTAAAAGGTTCGAAATGATAATATTCTGAAATCAGTTTGAGGGAGTGTCTTTAAAGTAGATGTAGTCCCTATTCTTAATACTCTGGTTAGGAATGTTAGAAACATCAGCCTGAATTTAATTATCTTAATTTACTATACATGGAGGGTTTTTATTTGCTCACAGAATGACAGTTTTAGGTGAAACTTGCAAATAGCTTTATGAATTATTTTGCTCTGTAACTTTTTTCAAAGCAATGGTCAACTTTTAAAAATTATTTAATTTTATTTATTATTATTTAATTTGCTATAGGGCATGTGTCCTCACCAGAGAGAGATGGTGCAGGGCTTGGGGGAAGTGAGAAAGTAAGCTTCCAGGTTCAGGATTCGAAACATGATCAACCATGTGGGAGTCTAGCATCTTAACCACCACGCCACCTGCTGGTTCCCCAACTGTACATTTTTAAAATACTTTTTATTCTCTTAATTTGTCAATGTAACTCATCTCAGCGAGCAATAGTACCTTAAAGAAAATGAAACTGTGAGTGATGATAGTAGTTTTATTAAAAATTTTCTTTTTCTAGTTCAAACTTTGGTATAGTATATTTCAAGCCTATGTAAGACTTGCTTTAAAAACAAACTTTAAGAAATAAAAATGCCATATTTCAAAAGCTTTTGACTCTAGTAAGTTACTTATATCATTTTAAATAATGTGATGTGGTATATAGCTCATGGTCCTAAAACATTTATAACTGAAAACAGACTGAGCAATAGAGAATTACATTAAATAATGTAGCAGGTTTTTTTTGTTGTTGTTGTTGTTGTTTTCCAAAATGTGAAATATGCTATTTAGGGAATGGCCCTGTAGTTCAAGGTTTAAGAGATGTTAACCAAAATCCACAGGGGCCAGAACATGATTGTGAACTGGCAGAAATGAATGGAACTGTAAGGATAGACTTAATTACCTAAAGAAGAAATAAAGAATCGGTGTCAAATACACACACACACACACATATGTATGCACATATATATGTATATATGGTATATCTGCATACATACACACACATATATATACATATATATGTATATATGTGTTGAAAAAAGAAAAAATTTGGGAGCTTAACGTAAGAGACTATGTGAGACTAAAAGACAAAGGGCACCTCTTACCAGATTCTTGTAATGGTGGCTTTGTAGTCATCTTCCGACCCGACCCAGGGCAACTTTTACACAACTTTTTTCACCTAAGGAGATGGCGTAGTAGTTAAAGCTGTGGATCCCGCATGTCCAAGTCCGTGGTTCAAGTCCTGGACTCAGTGGCTTGAAAAACACAGCAGGCATGTGTGCATGCCGAAAATGGCCAATCTCCCTTAGGGGATGATTTTGTGCTTACCCTATCTCTGTCTCTCTCCGGTGAGCACATATCCTCTCTACCAAGAAAAGTCTAAATAAATAAATAAAGAGAGAGGACATAGTTAGACCAGCTGAAAAACAATTGAAAATAGTTTATGTAGAACAGAAAACTATTTTCTTCTTGACAATGAAGACATGTCTCAGTGTAAACATAGAGACAGATAAAGTAGAAAAGCTCTTGTACTCAGCCTGACTCCTCCTCGTACAGACATATTTTGGGGCATGTGGAGCGGGGATGTATGCTTTACTTTTGATCAGATCTTAGCTGATTGTGTGCTTCAGAAACTGGGGATGTGAGTAGGAACAGTAACTGGTCTCCATAAGGTACTGCAAGACAGTTTAAGATTATGAAAATAATAGGAATATGTTAAAAAAACAAAAACCCCCCAAACAACTGGCCGAATAATTAAAAACACCCTCGAAGGGGTCAGCAGGTGGCATGGTGGCGAAGGCATTGGACTCCCACATGGCTGACCATGGTTTGAGTCCCAGACCTGGCAGCTTGCTTTCTCACTTTCTGTCTCTCTCTCTCTCTTGCACACATGTGCATGCATGTGCCCTATAGCAAATTCTCTCTCTCTTGCACACATGTGCATGCATGTTCCCTATAGCAAATTAAATTAATAAATTAATTAAATTAAATAAATAATCTTTAAAACAGAAAACACCCTGGAAGACAAGGTAGTATTTGGATGGGAGTGAGAAAGGACAGAAATGACGACCCCAGACTTTCCTAGCATTTCTATCTGTGGCAGAATCCTCTGTACAGGAAGATGATGGGATGAACGAACCCTGTGTATTTGCCTAAATATATGTTTATGTTCTTCAGTATATATGAACTAAACCAGATCTGGCACCTGGGAGGAAAATAGCCTTTAGTTATAAAAGATTCTTTATTTTGGACTGGTTCCATGGCCTAGTTGTTAAGGGAGCTGACTCTTACATGGCCGACAGCCCAGTTCCAGTCCTGTCCCATCAGTTTGGGAAATATGCCAGGTGTGTGTATGCCCAAAATTTGGACTGGATGGAATAATGAAGGGAAGGTATTGTGGCATGACTACACCTCATTGGGGAGTGCTTTCTCTCTCTTTCTCTCTGTTTCTCTGTTTCTCTCTGGTGACTGCATGTGCTGACTGTCAAAAAAGTCCCTTATTTGTAGATCTCTTAGTAGCTCATATTTTTAAATTAACAGTTTATTGAGATGTAATTTACATACCATGAAGTTCACCCTTCCAAAGTATATGTACTCCAGAGTGCATATTCTCTGTCGCTGTGTTTTACTGTCTCATTGCAGGATTGTTGAGTAGATGTGTGTATTTAGCACACTATCTGGACATAGGAAACAATAAGAAGCTGTGGTTTCTCTTTATAATGATGGTAGGTTAATGGTAATTCCCCCCCCTAACGTTTCCTCCGAGGCTTTATTAGTCTACTGCCAGCTTCCTAAATAATGTTCATTTAAGATAGAAGAAATATGGGGCCAGCCCATGGCATGGAGGTTAAGGCGACTGGATCCCATAGTAGCTGACTGTAGGGTTTGAGTCCAGGACCCATCAACTTGAAAGTTATGCTGGGCCCCTGTGTGTGAGCGCCCAAAATCCAAGAGGGGAATGGAGAAGGGATTATTGCAGTGTGGCCATCTCCCCTGCAGGTTGATTTCTCAACCCCTCCTTCTCTCTCTCTCTGTCTCTCTCTGGCAAGTGCACACACCCTATAGCAAAACAAAACACAATGAAAAGCAAAACAAAAACAAACACCTAAAATAAAACGGATGATATATAAGGAAAATAAAACGTATTCCAAAGAATATTACTTTAATGTAGAACACTTTCTCTTGTTCTCTCTCTTTTTCAAAAAAAATTGCTATAGGGCAGGGACCAGCAGTTAGCGTAATGGCTATGTCACTGGACTCCCACGTTGTTGACCGCGGTTCAAAGCCTGGACCCGGTGGCTTAAAACCACACCGGGTGCGTGTGCGTGCGTGCCCAAGAGGAGAATGGAGGAGAAGGGATTGCGGCGTGGCCATCCCCCCTGGGGGGTGATTTCTCACTTTCTGTCTCTCTGTCTCTTTCTGTCTGGCGAGTGCACGTGCCCTATAGAGAAAACCTCTCAAAAAAAAAAAAAAGATTGCTATAGGGCACATGTGCTCACTGGAGAGAGAGAGAAGATGAGAAATCACTCCCTAGGGAGGAATGGCCACATTGCAATCCCTACTCCATTTATCTCTCAGGATTTTTAAGCTGCTGTTTGGGACCCAAACCATATCGTAAGTCATGTGGCATCCAGCCACCCAGCACCTTAACCACCACCCCACTTTGCTGACCCAAGAGTTCTCTTTTTTTTTTTTCCTAAAGATTTTACCATAGGGTGTGTGTGCTACCAGAGAGAGACAGTGAGAGGGAACATGAGAAATCACCCACTGGTGGGATGGCCATACCACAATCCCCTCTCCTCCATTCTCCTCAGGATTTTGGGCATGCACACAACATGATTTTCAAGCTGGCAGGTCTGGGACTCAAACGGCAGTTGACCATGTAGAAGTCCAGCGTCTTAACCACTACGCCACCGGCGGGCCCCCACAAGAGTTCTTTTACTGAGCTCAAGTGTAATTGGAAACATGGGAAAGCCTTATTTTACACCAAGGCTTAATTCCTTTTATATCCAAATCCTGTTTACTTTAAACTAGTGTTCCATTTATTTTTTACTTAAAGTTACAAAGAAAAGTTATTGGCCTCTTTTCCATGGAGCTTTTAGTAATTAGCTATCTAAAAGATGAGATTGATCAGTTGTCTAAAAACAGTATCAGTTATGCCTTTAGATTTGATGGCAATCTCTCTTTAAATCATTCAGCAAAGTGATTTCATTCTTGCTTCGGTTTCCTCTCTCATAAAAGGAGTTAATTATCAATAGTCAGTTTAATACATTAAAATTTAAATTA